ACACGCACACGCACACGCACACGCACACGCACACGCACACGCACACGCACACGCACACGCACACGCACACGCACACGCACACGCACACGCACACGCACACGCACACGCACACGCACACGCACACGCACACGCACACGCACACGCACACGCACACGCACACGCACACGCACACGCACACGCACACGCACACGCACACGCACACGCACACGCACACGCACACGCACACGCACACGCACACGCACACGCACACGCACGCACGCACGCACACACGCACACACGCACACACACGCACACACACGCGCACACACACGCACACACACGCACACACACACACACACGACCCGCACGTCTGGCCCGCTGTGGGCACCGAGAGGCCCCTCCAGACCAGCCCGTGTTAGGGGGAGGCAGCAGACGCCCCGGCGGGCCGAAGATGTCCGGTCGTGACCTTTCCAGACGCCGCGATCCTGCCACGATCTCGTCGCAAGGCCAGATCTCGAGGGGCGAGGGGCACTGGTGGAGCTCTGGACGGACGCGGGGGGTTTGCTGGTTCTGAGGGGGCTGGCGGGCCTGACGCCGCTGCAGCTCTGCGACTTCAGCGGGTGCTTCGGCCGCCTGCACACGGGCACGGAGGTGGACAGCGCGTACTACTTCGAGGGCCTCCCTGTCTTGCGCATGGGCAACGCGAGGGACGACGCCGGCCGGCTGGCCTGCTACCTCGCGAACCGAAGCCCAATCCCAGACGGCAAAAGCCTGCAGTACGACCCCCGCACCGAGCTTGGTAAGGCTTCGGGTTGCGCGCAGAGCCCCCCAAGTAGTTCCTGCCAGCCTCAACAGGTCTCCCGAGCAGACTGGGACGGTCTCGGCACCCCAAGCTTGGGGCGCGGAACACCCAAGGCGTGTGAAGCGACTTCATCCCTCTTCCCACATCATGTCTGTCCACCCTTTCTGTCCCTCCTTTCTGGTCTTCTCTCCTTCCTCCTTCTTCCTGCTGTGCACTGGTGCTGGCCGCTGCCGTTTAGGGCCCTTGAGCCGCTCCAAGAAACACGCCCTTCGCGAACCCTGCCCGGGCATCTCCGCCGAGCTCTCCGCCGAGCTTTCGCGCCGTAGTGGAGCGCGTCGCGCTCCCCGACCACTCCGCGCCAGTTGCCATGGCCATCGCAAGGTCCGAAGGAAGCGGTGTCAAAACAATATGTCCTATAACTGGTCCTCAACAGGGCTGGGAGCCATGCGAGGAGGAGCTTAGCGCGTGGGTGTTGTCCACAGAGCTGAAGCCAAAAGACATGGGTCCACAGCTCAATCCTCCCTCCTCCCTCCTCCAAGAGTAGATGCTGTTCACCCGACCTGTTTTTCAACAGCCAAGCAGCACTCCTTGACATGGCTCGGTTGTCTACCGATCCAGAGGAGCGTTTGGTCCCCTTGGCTTTAACTACTTGTCGTCCTTCATGCAAGAAGAGAGCAGAGCCAACGATGACGTGGCAAAACTTATGCGCCTCTCTTTTTGGCCAAAGTACACCCCGAACAGTGGACACCTGCAGAATTGCGCATCCGAAAACATGAGGCTCACCAGCGAGTTTGAGGCCGACAAATTCGTCAAGCTGGAAGAAGTTGTCGAAACATGCGTCCTGATAGTGAACGCTGAGTTGTTTCAGCACCGACTCAGCAAATTCAGCGCGCGTCTAGACACGGATGCTGCCCTGACTGTTAGGAAAGCCTGCGATGCAATCCAAATGGTCTTTGGGGACAACATCCTACGAAAAACCGTCGCGGACGGATTCGCTGCAGACCTCTGGGGCGAGCCTGAGAGGCACGACTTTCAGTGGGGAGAGCCGTCTTACTACGACCAGTTTTGGCAGGAGGCTAGTTTGGAAGATGCAGCCTACGGAAACAACAAAGAGTGTCTGTGGCGCGGTGTCTCCAACCACTGGGTCGCCCAGTGCCCACACCCACCAAACAGCAAAGGCAAAGGAAAGGCAGCCTGCACACTTGGCCGGGTTTGTGGCAAAAACTACGGAACAGTAGCTGGTGAAGCACCCCGTGGCAGGGGAAAAGGGGCCGACACTTACCAGGCCGGTAAGTTCAGAAGAAACATTCGCGGAAAACCCTCAACTGGGAAATCGGCAAGCTCCAGAAGCAATAGCAACGGCAGAGGTAAAATGTCACAGAATACATCGGGGAAAAAGCAACCATGCATTCACCGCAGATGACTCCAACTGGTGGATAAGGGGCTGGCAACTGGTCAGAGCATCCTGACTGGAGTTCTGGCCAAGCCAACGGCTACGAACACCACCCCGATTCGGATGCCCAGTTAGCTTGGTCATTCGTGGCGGAGCACTCTGACGAGCCTGCCCCTAATAGCCAACCGCCGCAACCACCCGACGAGCGGAGGCCACCGAGCCTAGCGCCACAGTAAGCGAAGCAGCTGCGCGCCTGCAGAGCGCAGCTGCCCAACAACGAGCTCGCGCGCGCACTTCCGTTCCCTCCAAGAGCACAGGTTGCCAGAAGTGTCGCGTCCGCCCCCGACCGCTGCTACAAGTGCGTCGGCCAACTACACCACGCAAGCCGGACCGTTCAGCTTTGGCTTCCCGGCCGATGGAATGGCGATTGCGGGGGCGGAGTGCGCGGGACCAGCGCGCCTGGGTTTCCCGGCCGCTGGAAGAGCCACTCCTGCCGACCGTTGCCTGTCATCCAGCGCTCCGTCAGGACAGGCGTGCTTGGGCTTCCCGGCCGCTGGAATGGCTGGCACGCGTAGCATGCCCGTTCGCCGTTGGCAGTGGCCCCTCCAGGGCAGCTCGTACCGAGGGTTGTCCGCGCCGCTTGCTGCGCGTCAGCAGCTGTGGCCAGCCGACGAAGCAGCGTCGGTGCATGTCCCGCACGGAGTGCGGGAACGTGTGCTTCGCGAGCGAGCCCGTCGACTTGGTCGACCCCTCGCTCAGCGCGCCGCGATGGCGCGTGGGCCTGCAGAGCGACGACCACGAAGACGACCGCGGCTACGTCGACGACTTCGGCGAAGAGGACAGCGACTGAGACGACGCAGCCGTCGAAGAACGAAGGGCCGTTGAGAGACCGCAGGACCATCCCGACGAAGACGAGAGGAACGACGACGACGCCAACGACGGTGACCCCAAAGAAGACAGCCGCGCTTCCTACGCACCAGAAGCAGCGATGCCGTCGTTTGCCACAGAGCACAGCCTGCACGCGGACATCGCCGTCCACGAGGCCATCGTCGATCTTGGCTGCTCTAAAGGCATAGTGTCTGAAGACCGGCACCGCAAATTCAAACAGCTTCTTGCCGCAGAGCTTCCTGCCCTGATTTGCGCGTGTCCGGAAAGCTTTCTTCGACAGTGTATCGTTCCGCTGGGGTGATTTCAAAACTGCAACTAGCTTAGCGAACGCACCTGGAGGACCGATTTCGAAGCAGTCAAAACAGGCGCAGGTCCACGAGCCACACCTTTCTTATAGTCCAAGCCTCGACTAAATAATTTACGTGCCGCAGTGGGTTTCGATGCAGACACGCTTTCTCTCAAAGAGACGCAGAAGACGATGCCGTTGAAGGCGCCGCGCCGGGCGCTACTTGTCCCCGCCCCTTTCCGCGCGCCCAGAAGCACTGCGCGCTGCGCCTGCAAGAACCGCGAGCCCCACCAACCATGAACTTGCGCATGAAACAATCGCTGCGCTTGGCAGCCCAGGGTCGTTTCAGGTCTGGATGCCGCCTCGCCTCTCCGAGCTGAAGCGCGAGTCAACCGCCGAAGCAGGGCTGAAGAGGATCCACGATCGACTCGGTATCCCAAGCGTAGAGCTCCTGATGCGTAAGATTGCCCCTGCGCAAGACCCAGGAGCCGCCCCTGCTGCGAAAAGCCTCGCAGAGAAGATTGCGGACAACGGCAATTTATGCGATCGTTTCGAGAAGGCCGCTCTTCACTTGGCATGAGCACCAGGTCGGTCGACCAGATCGCGTGGGTCGATCCATTCGAGATTGGGCACCCAAACCATCGCGCTTCATCATATGATCGACAGCTTCACGAGGCGGTCCCGCGCAGGGCGAGTTCCGACCAAGGAGCCCAGCGGCACGCTGCGCGCATTCTCTCGTGGGCAAGCTGTTCGCGGTGGCCTCCCAGAAAACATGATGACCGACATTGGTGGCGATTGTGCCAGCGAAAATGTCGAGGAGCACTTGGAGCTACACGGGGTTCGTCACTGGCGGGCCCCTCCCCGCACCCTCGCGTCAAACGGCATTGTTGTGCGAAACAACGGGGCGTTGAATATAATCTTTTACAAGTTAGCGCAGATGCTCGCTGGCCAACTTGGCAACGGGACATTCACCGCCACGGACGTCACAATGCAAGCCTGCGCTGCCAAGAACGCTTCGGTTCGACGATGTGTTTTTTCGCCTTAGGGAACAAAACAACCCCTTTTTCGGCGCCCTCGACGAGGCAGACCCTCCTTTGCTCCGGGGCCCCCCTGCAGACCCCGCGAGCAGCGCTCGGGCTAGACGCTCCCTCCGGCGAGCCGCGCAGCAGGTAGCTATCCAGATCCAGTCGCGTTCTGAATTGCGGGATTTGTTCAATTCACGATTGGCCGGCATTCTCGGCCCGCTTGGCGCCGGGGCCATCGTCGCCAGATTGCTGACGAAAGTTCGAAAAACGTTTGGAAAGGCTTGGAAGGGGCAGACAACTGCGATAGGCATGGAAGGCCATCGCGTGGATTCGCGCGCAAGATGGACTCGCTGCGCCCGCGCGCCTGCGCCAGCGCCCGACCTCACGAGCGCAAGAGGAGCTTGGAACTACAAGTCCAGGCGCCGGCGCAACAAGAGACGAACAACAAGAAGGAACAAACCTCGGAAGACACGGCTCCGCCACAACCGCCGCCGCTCCCAGCTGCGCCCCCATCAGCCTTGCCACGACCGCCCTCTGATAATTGCACCGGCTCTGGGTGGTTTTCCGGGGCCCGCGGTTTCCCGGCCGTGGGAACCGGACAATCAGCGCCTCCGCTGCCTCCTCCTGCGCCGCCGCCGCAACGGCAACCTGGCAGTTCTTCAGCTTGCGCAGTCAAGCCGACCCACCGGCCGATTGGCAAACAACTTTTTTCAGACCGGCCAAACAAACCGAAGGGGGGAACGCGAACGAACCGAATCAGAACCTGCGCGCAAGTCACAAATGCGCCCGCGCTCCGACGATCTCCTCGCAGCGGCCAACAACGATGCTGACGAGTCGTTTTTCGAAGTACTAACACAGTGGAGCACGATGGCTGAAGTTTCGGATTTTGCAAAAGCAGCCCAGCAGACGCGCCTGCGCCCCAGGGGAATCCGCCCCCGATGCCCTGGCAGCGGCGAGAACCCTAGAGCGCCAAAAGAGGTTCAGCGCGAGACCGCCGAAGCAGACCCAGTTTTCGAAGCGCCCTGGCCTCGTGAACTACGCGCCGTCGCGGCCAATTTCGACGTGGTTCCGCGTCCACAAGGCGCGTCAACAGCGCCGTCGCGCTTCGTCTACACCGCGCCCGACGGCGAACCGAAAGCCCGCCTCGCAGCGCAGGCCTGCTTCGAGTCAAGCAAAGACAGGCATATGGTTGAGAGCCCGACGTTGCGCCGTCATTCGGTTCGTTTCATGATTTGGCTTGCTGGGCGCATGCAGTTCGAGCCGGAAGCATGGGGAGTTGAGCGTTGCTCTAGGCCGGCGCCTCTGCATATCCCAGTTGGGATGGCTCGCCCGCGTTCGTTCGACCACCTGCTGGCGTTGACTTGCTGGAAGGACACGCGCGGCGATTGAAGCGCGGCATGACATTGCGCGGCTTGCGCCGGGCACCTCGGGTACGGTTATTTCACGTGCGGCCGCTTCTACTAGAAGGCGGCGTTGCGCAAGCGATGCGGAATCAATGTTTTTTTGCGCTTCGAGGGCGAGCGACTTCAGGGATTCCTTAGTTTTCGCGCGACGTTGCGATGGCGGGGACCGATTCTTTTTGGGATGCCATAGAAAGTTTGCCCTTGCAGCGGGGCGCGCGCAAGCGGGGTAATCTTGTCTTTTGTGGCTCTCTTGATCGCGCTCAACATTGCGCGCATCTGTCATTCGCATCTGCGCCCCCGCACCGGCTGCGGCAACCGACTTCTGAGGTCGCAGAATCAGAGCGAGCCCCCTTGCGACAGCGCCTAGGCGCGCAGATCTGCGCGTCGGACCAGTCGGCCCCGAGCGGCACGTGAGTTCTGCAGCGTCGAGAGTGCAATCGGCAGCGGTGAGTGCGCTTCTAAACTGTTGCAAAAACGACCGCCGCCTCAGGAATGCCCCGGCTGCCTTGCCTTTTGGCCCCATGTCCACAGATATCTGCGCGCGGTATTTTGGCGATTCCCCCGGGAACTCCCCTCCGCAGCGCGGCGTGGCCACGTTCATCGGAGAGGGGGGAAGGGGGGGGGGTGAGGTCGTTCGTGCTGAGGCGCGCAGGCGGGCATCGAAGAGGCAAGTCCGCGCGTGCATCGCCGTGCTGGCAGCCGAGGCACTCTCGGCAGAGGCCGCTTTGGATGTAATATTAGCCACGGGACGCCGGATTCAAGAATCGCCGAACATGCCAGGGCCGCCCTTCGGTGTCTCACCCGCGGACAACTGGCACCTCGCGACCAACGTATATTCTGCAACGCCACGCCTTTCGGAAGAAAATGTTACTCCAGCGTGCCAGAGAGTTCGCGAAGCTGTCGTTGCATGGGTTCCGAAACACTGTGATAAAGTATTTTCGCTGGAGCTGTTGTGGATGCCAGATTCTGAAATGCGCGCTCGCCCTGTCACGCAGGACAAAGCCAACCCTGGGAAACTGGTAGCCCCTATCGGGCCCGGCATACTCACGCCCACCTCAGCGAGCGAGCCGGCCACGGGGCCCCCGACAAGTGCAAGCGCAGCGTCGTCAGCTGGACCTTCGCGCTTGGGTTTCTGGCCGAGGGAAAGCTGGTCGCGGGTGCAACGGTGTCGATTCCAATCGGCGCCCTGGCGCCTGCAGTGCCTGGCTGCGCGAGAGATGCTCGACCCCTGCATCCAGGCGCCACTTCGATGGCGCGCTCGCCGGCTCCTCCAGCGCGGCGCACAGTTGAAGAGCAGCCCGCAGCGCTGCCGCCGGCTCGCCGCCTGAGTGACGTGGAGCGGCTCCTCCAAAGCAGTGCCCTGAACATGATGAACAACGAGCGCCGGGCTATGCAGGAATTCCAGAGCAGATAGGACACCTCCCGTGACCGACAGCTTGAACGGGCAGTTGATCTCGCGCAGAAGGAGCCACAGGCAATTCAGATGGATGTAATTATGGACAAGCGTATACATGCGGCTGACACATGAGGCCTCTGGCAAGCCACGGAAATATCACGATGCGTTGCATCGACGAGACGTCTCCCAGATGGAACGCCTCATGTCCGCCAGCAAGCTCCGGGGCAGATAGAAGGCCAAACTGGACAGAGCTGACTGGGAACAGCGTCGTGGTAGGCATGCTGACTGGGCAGCGGCTGCAGCTGCTGATCCAGATTACGTATTTGATCACGCGTGTGATCCGTCTCCAGAGCCAGCGACGCTGCGCCCTGGCGTTCAGCAAGAGAGATCTCGCGGCAGAGGTCGCAGCCCCGACTGCTCAGAGCCCGACGGGGCAGGACAGCAGAAAGCATGTCTTTTCGACGGCAGACCGCGCTCCCGAGCTGAAGATATCCGCCGGCAGGAACATGGAGAGGCCTTCTCCGAGCGCAGCCTGGAAATCAAACAAAGCAGCGTTGCGCGCAGAGAAGAAAAGAGAGAAGAAGACAATTCCAGCAACCATTGACTGCTGAGCCAGCCTTTGGCCACTTCTAGAAGACAAGAAGTTGGTGTTGTGTAGCAACTTTGTCATTATTCTCATTTTGTCTGTCCATCATTTGCGTCCCGCCTTTCTGGTCTTCCCTCTTGCTCTTAGGGCCCTTGAGCCGCTCAGAGCGGGAAAAGGGACTGCGCCGCCCTTCGCGAGCCTTGCCGGGCATCTCCGCCGAGCTCTCGCACCGGATGGTTTTCGCATGAGACATCCTCAAGGCGCGCTGGCCCCAGACTGCCCAGGGGGCTTGTTGAGGCCATCCGGGACGGTTTCGGGGCTGTCTACGTAGAGCCCGAAGCATTACCAGACGAGCTGCCCAACTGGCACACGGACAGCGTCTTCTGGGAGCAGCCGCCGATCGGCAGCCTGTTCTTCTGCCAGCAGGCTCGACGATCCTGAAGAAGAGATGTGTCAGCCCAGTGCGCGCGCGTTCTGTTCAGCTCCGCCGATGGCACGCAGCTCGTGCCGGCCCTCATCGATGCACGTCGCATTGAAAAGGCCTGGGTGGACAAGCGCGCATTGGCGCCAGACCGCGTTCTGCGGGTCGTCGACAGGCGCCCGCCGAGGGCGGCGAGACGCTCTTCGCGGACACGACGGGGGCGTATGCGGCCCTGCCCCGGGAGCTCCAGGCGGAGCTGGAGCGCTGTGAGGTTGAGGGGCCACGTTAGGGGGGGAGTGGGCTCAGGGGGTGGGGGCGCATCGGCCCCCCTCTCGTCTGTTCATCGCCGATAGGGGCCCGATAGCCCACCCCAGCTTTGGAACGTTCGAACTCGCCACTGGAGGTGAATCGGAGGCCTATCGCCGATTTAGCGGCGGTGTGTACCGATTCCATGTCGATGTTCCCCCCCGTCTGCGAGGGCCTCCCCCACGACGTTGCTCCTCGGAGGTTGTCTGTTCGCTGGCGCACCAGTGGGCCAAGAAGAACAAGTCCTCGGCGCACCAATCGCTCGCGAAAAAGTCCCCCCAGGAACCCAGTGGAGGAACGGATGCCGATGCCGCTACCCCTGCCGCGTCGACACGGCTGGATTCGCTTCGGAATTTCGGCCAAACCGCGCCCCAAAAGAGGTCCGGGGAGCACGGCAGGTTCGCGTCGTGTCGACTGGCGGCGACCCCGCCGCTGGCGTTAAACGTTGAAAGGCCGCAAACGACCCAACTTTGGTCGATGTTGAATGGTCTGACGTTTCGGAAACGGCCGGTCGTTACGGATTGAACGATCCCCGCAGTGTCAGGAGCCAGCGCAGGGGTTGTCACGACACTGATTTGCCGCAGTGGTATCGGTATCTTTCTGTTTCCCCAGGAGCTGCGAGCGGCACGCGCGCGCAGCAGGGCGCGGCGCTGGCCGTTGGCGCTGCGGCACCCAGAGACCGGGAAGGTGGCGATTTACGGCATGAACATGGGGACATGTGCCGTGCTTCCCAGGGGTTCCGAGCTGCCCCAGGAGCTCATAGTCGGGTGCTGGTGGAAGTACCCCTGGCCCAAGGTGCCCCCAGGATTCTCGGGGTGGCCCTGACGGCCTCCAGAGCACCCCTCACGAGGCCCAGAGGCCCAGAGGGCCCCAGGGCCCCCAAAATGGAGCGAAAAGCTGGGGGCACCGTGGGCCAGGGGCACTTCTAGCAACACCCGACATAGGAGGAAAAGGTACCAGTACCGCTATCCTCCCTACGTTTTCGCCTTTTATGGGCCTCGTGGGAGGCCCTCGTCGCCGCCGTTGGATTCGCCTCGAACTTCTGGTCAGAACGCATTCCAAGAGAGGTCTGGGGAGTATCGGTATCTGTACCTGTTGGTTTCTCCAGGAGCGGCTTGACGAGATGGAGCTGGAGGGGGCGGAGGACGAGAGCCTCGATATCCTGAAGGGTCTCCTGCCGCACCTGTCGCAGCCGCAGTTCACCGTGAAGTGGAAGTGGGACGTCGGAGATCTCGTCGTCTGGGACAACAGGTCGCTTTTTCACGCGGGCACTGGGTTCGACGATACGAAATACACTCGCGAGATGTGGCGAACCACCGTGCTGGCCAAGCCAGGCCCGACGACGTAGGGGGCGCTGGCGCCTCGACGGCCCCTGGACCTGGCGACGCGGCGTGCGCTCGAGAAGAAACGCTCCCCGATGTCCTGCCCACGGGAAGCGCCGAGCAGCTGACAAAACTCGGAGGAGAAGCAGAGACTCAGGAGGGAAAAAACACAGACCCAATTAATCGTCGAATCCTACGAAAATGCATGAACATATGGGAAGCGTGGGGGAAGAAGGGGGCCGTTTTCGTTTCGAATTCGTTTTGCGGTAGAGGTAGATTAAAGACAAAACGAGGGAGAACGAAAAACCAAACGAAATCGAGGAGCACCGTTCAGGTGCAGCCCTGGCAGAGAACACCGCCACCGAAAACCCCCTCGGGGAGGGGATCCCCGCCCCCTGCGGAGGCACTCCGGAGCGCCTCCCACGTGCCAGGAGGCGCCGGGGAGTGCCGCCGCCCGGGCTGTCGATGGCGTGCGGTCTCTGTCTCGTCCCCGTCCGAGCCTGGAGAGCCGACGATCGGATGTTTGTCCAGGCGCGGCCCCGACCCCTTCCTGGGGCTCCTCCTCCTCCTCCTCCTTCTCCTCCTCCTCCTCCTCCTGCTCCTCCCCCTCCCCCTCCTCCTCCTTCTCCTCCTCCTCCTCCTCCTCCTCCTCCTCCTCCTCCTCCTCCTCCTCCTCCTCCTCCCCCTCCTCCTCCGCAGGTTCCCGCCCGGGATCCCTTCTCGCTGGCCCCAGGTCTCCAGGAGGGGCAGAGAGGAAAGGACACCCGCCGGGATGGAAGAAACCGTGCAGTCGACCAGCACGGTAAGGATGGGCACCTCTCCCAGAGGTGCCCTTGCATCCTTGCCTCCTCGGCCCATCCTTGGCCACTTTCCTTGGCCGCGCCCCGCTCGAAAAGCTTCGAAACGGCCTTCAAGGGCCTTGCATCCTTATCGCGAGTCCTTAGATGATACGGGTCGACTGTATCGTCCGAGATCTGGGCCTGTGGAAAAACGCGCACACACAAATTGTGTGTGTGTAAAAACACGGTGGAACACCACGAACACTGTGGAACAAACAAACAAGCACACACACACACGCACACACACGCACACACATACACACACACACTTACACTGTGTGTGTGCGTGTGTGTGTGTGTGTGGGTGGGGGGGGCGTGTGCGTTTGCGTGTGCGTGTGCGTGTGTGCGTGTGCGTGTGCGTTTGCAAGTTTGTGTGTGTGAATGTGACTGTGACTGTGAATGTGAATGTGAATGTGAATGTGAATGTGACTGTGACTGTGAATGTGTGTGTTTGTTCGTCCGTAGCCTTGGCTCAAGCTGTCTGGGCTCGAGCACGCCCCTGGCCAGGTGCGGTGCCCTGGTCCTGGCATGACGGAGACCGCGGCGGCGCGGCGACGGCGGCTGGCCTGTGCCGCTGCCGGTCGCCGCTTGGCTGCCGCCGTGACTCTCTGGCGCCGCTGGCGCTGCTGGCGCGACAGGCGCCGCCGCTCTCGGCGGCGCGCTTACTGCTGCGAGCGTTTCCGGCGCTGCTGGCGCCGCCGCCTCGACCCTCGCTGCCGACGCACCCCAGGCTGTCGGCGCGGGCTGGGCCGCTCGCCCTCTCGCCCCCGCCGGCGCCCCGGGCGCTTCCTACGCCCCTGGGCATGTCGACGCGGCCCGAGTGCGCCGTCCTGCCGGCGCCGCCGGCGCGGCTGGCGCCCCTTCGGCCGCCGCTGCCAGCGCCGCTTAGGCCCCGTGGGCGGTCGGCGCGGCCGGCGCGGCTTGGCCGCCCGCCTCGGCCGACGGCGCGGGCGCCGCCGACGCCCTCGGAAGCGTTGGCGCGGCCCGCGCACCCTCGTGGGCCCCGCGCCCTGCGCCGCTGGCGCCGTTGGCGTTGGCGCTGCCGGCGCCGCCAGCGCTCCAGGCGCGGCCGCCGCCGCCGCTGCGGGCGCCTGCTCCGCGGCCGCCGCCGCTGCCCAGCCACGCGCAAAGGGGGTCCAGGGGGGGGGCCTTTTAGAAGCACCACTGCTCCTTAGAAGGGCCTTATCATAGATGCACGGCCGGCGCCTTCTAAGAAGCAGCCTCCTTCTAAGAAGCTTTCCCCCCCATGCCCCTTTTGCGCGCCGCCAAGCTGCTGCCCGCGCGGGCCTCTGGCTGGCCGCGGCCAGGCCGGCGCTGGCCGCCGAGTTCGCGGCCGCCGACGTCGCGGCGCACGGCGACGCGCGCGCGGTGGAGGAGGAGGAGGAGGAGGAGGAGGAGGAGGGAGGAGGAGGAGGAGGGGGAGGAGGAGGGAGGAGGAGGAGGAGGAGGAGGAGGAGGAGGAGGAGGAGGGGGGAGGAGCGAGGAAGAGGAGGAGGAGGAGGAGGAGGAGGAGGAGGAGGAGAGGAGGAGGAGGAGGAGGAGGGCGCGGGGGTGGACTTGGGGCAGGACGCGGGGAAGGCCGTCGCAGCTGGCGGGGAGGACGACGCGCGCGACGCGGCTTTGGCGACGCCTGCATCCTCGACAGCGCCGCCGAGAGCATCGACGCCAGCGTCTGCGGACCCCCGGCAGCGCCATCGGGACCAGCCTGGTTACCCAGCGGATTCGACGGTGGAGGACATCGAGGAGGGCATCGAGGAGGCGAATGAGGCGCAGGAGGCGGCTGACGAGATGGGGCAGTTCGTCGACGTGGAGGCTGGGGAGGCGGAAGTGGAGGCGACGGGCGGCATGGCCCAAGTCTTCGCCATGGACGCGGACGACGTGGGGGATGAGGAGGGGGGGGGGGGGGCGGAGGAGGCCCACAGAACCGCGGCTCCCGAGGAATCGGCTGCCGTTTCTCCAGGACCTCCACGCAGCTCCTCTCTCGCTGGCGAACCCCCCCGCGTTGCGCCCGCGCGGGCCCGACGCGCGGGAACGCTTCGTTTTCTTTCCCGCCGCCGCGCTTCGTGGCGATACGGGGGGGCGGGAAGGAAAGAGGGGGGGGGGGCGGGAGGCCCTTCGCCTTTCGGCCCCCCTCGCCGACGTCGCGCCCGCGCGGGCCCGACCGAGGTCAGGGCGCCGACTCCCGCGTTGCCGCCGCCGCATTTCGCGGCGCCCCTCGCGCCCCCTGGGGGGGGGGGGCCGGGCCGCGGCAGCGATGGCGGTGGCAGAGACCATCGGGCCCCCCTGAGCCTCACCAGGGCCCCGATGGAACTTCCATATCCCCCGGGGCTGGCAGCGACGCCGGCGTCGGAGACCAGCGGGCCGAACCAGGTAGCGATGGCGGAGTCAGAGACCAGCGGGCCTCCCCTGAGCCTCGCCAGGGCTCTCTCAGAGGGAACGTCCATCTCCCCCGTTCTCGCCGCGTTCCGCGGCGCCCGTGAACCGGGCAGCAACGGTTGCGCCAGAGGCGAACGGGCCGAACACTGTAGCTTCACACCCGTTATCGCGGCAACTCCGCTGCGCTCGCAGTTGCGACGTGTCGGAGGCGAATGTCTGTTCACCTGGCAGCGTGCCCAGGTGCGCGGGGGGCCCTGGCAGCGCCAGACACCAGCTGGCCGAACCCAGTGGAGATGGCGGAGTGAGAAACCGGCGGGCCTCCCCCGAGCCTCGCCAGGGCCCAGGGGGAAACCCCATCTCTCCCGTGTTTGCCGCTTTCAGCTGCGCCCCCGGACAGAGCAGCGACGGCGGCGTCCGAAACTGGGAGGCCCCTCCCGGCCCCGGGCCCCCGAGCGCACGCCCGCTGCAGGCGATGCCGCCGCTGATTGGGGCGCGCCTGGCCAGAGCTTCGCCGCCGCGCTGAGGGCCCGCTGCGACGGGCCGCCACCCGTGGGCGCGCGGGCCAACGCGTCTGGCAGTCGCACTTCTGGACCGCGAAGAGGTGCTCTGTCTGGCAGGCCAGAACCACTTGTCCAAGGCTGCCATGACACGCCAGCGCCAGGAGGGGCTGGGAAACCTTCACCACCGGCATCCACGCGTGCGCCTCCGCCGGCACCAACGCCATCACCTACACCAGTGCCGACGCCAGCATCGCCGGCATGAGCGCCAGCGCCACCAGCACCAGCGCCAGCATCGACGCCAGCGCCAACGCCTGCGCCTGCGCCTGCACCAATGCCAGTGCGTACGCCACCGTCGACGCCAGCACCGACGCCAGCGCCAACACCGACGCCTACGCCGGCATGAACGCATGCGCCTACACCAGCACCAGCGCCAGCATCGACGCCTGCACCAGCGCCCGCGCCTACGCCGGCACTAGCGCCAGTGCCTACGCCAGCATCCACGCGTGCGCCTCCGCCGGCACCAACGCCATCACCTACGCCAGTGCCGACACCAGCATCGCCGGCATGAGCGCCAGCGCCTACACCAGCACCAGCGCCAGCATCGACGCCAGCGCCAACGCCTGCGCCTACGCCGGCACCAACGCCAGAGCCTACGCCACCGTCGACGCC